TATATGAAGTTCTGGTGGCCTAGTGGTAAAGAGTTGCCCTGCCAACCCAAAGGCAAGCAGCTCAAATACACCAGCTTCTTTTTGGGAGAAAGATGGTTGGTGTCTTCCCATTTGATATCTACCATCTGAATACCTGCTGGAGGGTCAGCTATAAGTTAAGTTCTGGCTTGATGAAACATAACAGTAACATATAAATGTATGATTACTGACAAACTTGAGGAATCATAGAAAGTTTCTTTAATTTATAAGCTTCAGGGTATCAAGCTATTAAGAATTTTCCTGCGTTACAGTGAATTGGAAACACTTTTAATTGCTGGCACTTATGTGCTTATGTCCTGTTGTAAGGTATGAATGGCAAACTACATAAACTACATAAGCACATTTTATTACATGAGAAGCTGTTTGTGTCTCTAACTCAACTTCTACTTGTCCTCGACTCAAAACAACAAGTTGCCATCACTAGTCAGAACTGACTCATAGCTGATCCATTGCTGGATTTCTAAGGCTATAAATTGCATGGGAGAAAATCACCCATCTTTCTCCAAAGGAGCCACAGGTGAATTAAAATTGCCAGAGAGGTGTGACCTTTGGTTTAGCAGCACAACTGCCTATAGACTAGGCCACCAGAACTCCCTGCTCTAGTTGTCCAGGTCCTGTAAACATTTGCAGTGTTTTCTGTTCCATCTAAAAGAAAAGAAAATGTAAAGAAGAGCAGTTGGAGAGAAAAATAGAATGTAAAGAATGAGTAATAAAATATTTTATTTGGAAAATTTAACAAAATACATAATCATGAGCACATTAGAAATCCTTTTTCTAGTTCTTGTTGTTAAGTGCTATTGAGTTTGAACCAACTTATAGTTGATGCTCCTGTAGATATTCTTTTTAAATGTGTTTATTTTTTAAAAAAGTCAGTTGTGTACAAAAGTGTTTTGTAGTTTTTAATTCTATAAATTGCACAGATTGTTTGTCTTTCTTCTGCAGAGTAGCTGGTGGATTTGAACTGAGTGCCTTTGGGTTGGCAGTACAACTCCTAAACAGTAGGCCACCAGAAGTCCCTCTTCAAGAGCTTAGAAGCAGGCAGAGGACTCTGAGGCTCAAGTTTCAATTACTTTCTAGTAAACCTAGCTCTGTTCATCATATTTTCTGCACAGAACATAGAACATTCTTATTGGTATGGAGGGAGAACTCCTATTTAAAATCTGTGGAAAAGTTGTATAGGTAAAGGAGAAATGGGATCACAGTGACATATTTTATTGTCTCATTTTTGGTGGCCAACCTGGTATCCTTGTCAACTCAGAAGGGGTTGACATTTATGACTAAAGTCTCCCATTAGGCTGCTATTTCAGCAATCAATTTTTACTTGTATTTTTATGTCCCTCTTCTAGGCTACCAAAGGAAGCATGAAGTATGTTTCTTCCAGGCCAGAAGGTATGCTGCTAGCCATTTCTAATCAAATGGAGGTTTTATTGTGCATTTGTCAAGTTGAATTTTCTACAGCCTTCTGGCTATGGCAAGAATAAGGAATCTACTTGATGGCTTGTATTTGGATTCTGTCTTTTTCGTTTTTATTATTTTTTCTTCATATTAAATTGGATCTTTGACCCAAGTCCTGCTTTATTCTCCTAGAACTCTGTGCTTCACTTTGACCCAAGAGATCTAAATTTTCCATCAATGATTCATTGTATTGAGTCAGCTGTTGTTGTTGTTGTTCGGTGTCATCGAGTCGTAGATGACTCATAGCGACCCTGTGAATGAACGGCCTGAGCACTGTTTGTACATATAGGTTCCGGAGGCAAGCCATTTCGGAAGTGGATGCCACTCCTGCTTCCAGTTGAGTCAGCTAAACCTAGTTAATAGCTAGAGTCAATTCGACTCAACTCAATTCATTGCTACTGAGGCAGACCTGACTCACAGCTGACCCTTCAGTGGACTTTCCAAGGCTGTAAATCACATGGAAGGAGACTGCCTATCTTTCTCTCTCAGAGTTATTCGTGGATTTGAACTGCCAGAGAGGTGTCATCTTCGGATTAGCAGTACAACTCCCTATAAAGTAAGCCATCAAAGCTCCCCAAATGGCTAGAGGTGTTGTTGCTGTTGTTGAGTCCTGTTGAGTTGGAACCAACCCATAGCTGACCCTCCGGCAGGTTTTCAGAGACAGTTAATCACATAAGAGGAGATGGCCCATCTTCTTCCATAGACCAGCTGGTGGAGTCAAACCAAGTGACTTCGGGATTGCAGCACAGCTTCTTAACTCTAGGCCAGAAGAGCTCCCTTGGATCTCTGACTAAAATAGGCCATTATCCAGGCATCTTGGATAATGGCTTGAGTAGGACTCTGTAAAGTCCATGCTGCTGTAACTAATTTTAAAGTTCTAGATCTAGGAGGCTTCTTAGAGAACATCTGGAATGGTGGCTTTGAAACTGTCTTGGGAAGCTGTAGGCATCTGCATAGGTCTTGGGAGCCACTGGGAGGTGTGAGTGACCAAGAAGATGGAACTTGAGGCTCATCATTCTTACTTCAACAGAGGCAATTATTTTTATTTTTAAAAAATCAATTTTCTAAAAAAAAAATCAATTTTCTATACTGGAATTCAGGATGAAGTTTTACTTGAAAGAATAGAATTTCGTTACCAAAAAAGTATGACAACTATATATCTACTTCAACCTTCCTTATTTTTACAAAGAAAGCCCACTTCATGTGATCAGGATTTAGGCGCTTTCCTGTGAAGACGCCTTCGTGATTGATGTAGACATCACAGTGTAGACATCTTCATCTGATGTTGATATCTTTTATTTCTCCAGGTAAATGCGATGGTGTCTGTAACACGCGGAATTCCCATTGTATACAAGCTTGCCCTCCAGACACACAGGGAAATATGGAATATTTATGCATGAAAAATAAATATCACAAAGTTATCGATACTTGCCGAACCCTTAACATCTTCACCATCTTTGAGGTAATGTTCTCTCTCTACGGGAATTGTGGTGTGGTTATCATGAGCACAGTGGAGCTTCACATTCACATTAGCAATGCATATCACCCTCATTCAGATAGGATGAACATAAGGGTGAGAGAAGTGTATATCCTGTTTTATGTGAATATATCATAGCCACCTCTTCTCTTTCTTTCCTTAAAACACAGATCACATTCTTAATTCTGGCATTCAAAAATATGTGCACAACCACTCATATCCTTTTGTGATATGAAAAAAGTAAACATGTTAGGATTTTGTGGACCACATGGTCTTTGTTGCAACTACTAAACTCTGTCCTCACAATGTGGAAATAGCTCCAGATAATATGTAAGTGAATGAGCTGACTGTGTTTCTATACAATTTTAACTACAAGGAAATAGTGACCAGTCTAGAATACAGTTTAGATCACATCCTAATCTAAAGTGTGGCACTAGATCATATATCTAGGGAAATGCTATTATCTACTCCTACTTTAAACCCTTTTTCTCTCTGAGTGCTTTAGTTGATTTGTCCAAAGCTAGCTCAGAACTTTTATTTTTAAATATGTTTATGTCTCATACTTCACATCTTGTTCAGTGCTGTTGAGTCAACTACGACTCACAGAGATTCTATGAACAGTGGCTCTGAACATTGTCCTATCTTGTGCCAGAGTGAAATTAAGCTTAAATGGCATCAACTATATATCTACACATATATACACACAGAGCCCATAATATGTTGTTACGTACCTTTGAGTTGGAACTGATTCGTAACTGACCCATGAATAGGTTTTCAGAGGCAGTAAAGTACACAGGAATAGATTTCTCATCTTTCTCCTCCAGAGCAGTTGGTAGATTTGAGCCATGTGTCTTTGGGTTGGCAGCGTAGCTCTTAACCACTAGGCCATCAGAGCTCCCTGAGTATATAATACAGATGGCTCTAATGATTTGCCCTTGATTGCTAACCTACAGGTTAGCCCAGCAGTGCTTTGGAAGATAGGCCTGACTATCTGCTTCCATTAATAACCTATTGCTGTCAAGTTGATCCCTAATCACAGTAACCTTCTACTGGTTTCTAGTATATGATTGCCTATTTTTCTCCAGTGGAGCGACTGGTGGATTCAAACTGTCAACCCTTGAATTAGTAGCTGACACATAATGCACTACACCATCAAAGCCCTTTCCTGTTAATATAACAACTAAGATAATCCTAAAAGAGTAGTTCTACTCCCTGTGGTTACACATGGAGTTACATGTGTTGAGTATTCTCAATAGACACTAAATAACACCACCACCACAAATATATAAAAGATACCTGGACTGGAATGCTAAATATAATAGTTGTTATTTTGAGGGGATAGGAGGAGAAGGCAATTGAGAAGTTGGGGATTTAATTCCTGGGTTTTCCACTTTGTCAAGTTAGCCCACAGGTGTGACTTTGGAAACAAAACAGGAAAAGGTGGTGCAATATACACTTGTGTAACAAGGCTGCCCTAAATTTTAACAAAGGGATTTCATATTGAAAGCAAAAGTGACATACTTTCTTTTTGCCATTTCTTAGAATTCACATTCACTTCAACAATTTGGAGAAAGTATGAACATCGACCAATATTCTGGAAAAGAAGAGACCATTACAGAGATGTTAATGCAAAAATGTCCAGAGGATTTGGCTTGTGTCATTAATGGCATTCGCCATTCTCCCCGGATACCAGGAAACATTGCTATGATTGTGGAGCTCTTACACAACATATCAACAGAGCTAAAGTCACATGTCAATGAGGCAAAGATGCAGGTGAGTAGCCCTGGATACCTGGGAGAGCATCATTTCAATGGAAAGGAATACGAGCGAGTTAGAATATTTTGTGAGACTATTGGAGCCTTGGGAGATTATTATAGGCATGATGTTTTTCCATCTTATTATCCAATATCTAGCCTAGCATGTGTTCGGTAAATCTTCAGTGAAGAAATAAGTAGATGTAATCAGCAAATACATTTAATCAATAATGCACAGAGAGTAATTACTCTGTATTGTAGTGTACATTGGAGTGTAGTTTTCCAATATTAATAACTTAAAATCTCTAAGCACCATTTTAGGTTCTTCTTCTAAAGAAGGAAAGCCTTTTGTTATTTTGTTTTCCATTTGTGAGATTGTTAAGAAGGAGAATAAATGAATGCACAAATACGCAGCCGTACATATGTGCTTCAGATACGTAAATGGAATCGGACCCATTTTTGATCTTTTAAAACAGGGGACAGTTAAAATTCTATTTAACCTCTGGGCCAGTTTCCAGTTTAATGTGCTGTCCCATACAGTACCTTCCTCACAGTTGGGATTTAGTAGATGTTCATGAAATGATGGCTACTTTGACCACTGTAAGCAGATAGTTTTGCTGATAAATGATGTAGATCTGGTCATGCAAATGAGCGCAGTGGCAGATGCCTACTTGGCTGTGTTACAAGAAGGAATTAAATACGTGATGAGTGGTGGGCAGAGTGAGAAAATTAATTCCCAGGTGATTGTATCCTCTGATTCAAACTTTGATATGCAAGAGAGTCACTTAGAGATCTCACTAACTTGCAGATTCTGATGTATGAGATCTGAGGTGGGGCCTAACCTCTCACGGTTCTAAGAAGTATCCTGGGGATATCTATACTGTTATTAAAGTGAGTCTTTAATGAGCTGGCTGGTTTAGAAAATACTAAGACCTGTTTTTCATTTGTAGAGCTACAGCATCATGGCCAACCACATCCTTAACAGCAGAAGCATCTCAAACTGGACCTTCATCCCTGAGAAAAATAGTAGTGGTGTCCTGCTACATTCAATCAACTCCTTTGCAAGAAAGCTATCTATAAAGAAAGATCCCATTAACATCTCAGACACCTTCATTCACATCAAAGGCACCATCCTATCGGGAGGGAATACTGAAAATAATTTCACTTTTTCAATGAGAGTCAACGATACTGGACATAAAGTCACTGGGAACGTGTTCATTGCAAAAGATGAACTCTGGAAGCCGACTTCCTCCTCTCCTGTTGTCAGTATTGCGTTTCCAACCCTTGGGGCCATCTTGGAAGCCAGCCTTTTGGAAAACACTGCAAATGTGAATGGGCTCGTCCTGTCTATCATTTTGCCCAAGGAACTTAGAAACATCTCATTGACTTTTGAAAAGATCAACAAGTCTGAAGAGAAGAGGACACACTGTGTCGGCTGGCACTCCTTGGAGAATAGATGGGACCAGGAGGTGTGTCAGAAGGTTCAAGAAAGTGCTGAGCAAGTTGTTTGCAAATGCAAGCCACACAGATTCTTTACGTCTTTTTCAATTCTTATGTCACCCCACGGTGTGGAGAGCCAGATCCTGACTTACATCACCTACACAGGCCTGGGCATTTCAATTTGCAGCTTGATTCTTTGCTTGTTTATTGAAGCCTTGGTTTGGAGTCAAGTAACAAAGACAGAAATCTCCTATTTACGCCACCTGTGCATTGTAAATGTTGCAGTCACCCTGCTGATGGCTGATGTGTGGTTCATTGCGGGTTCCTTTCTTGGTGGCCCAACAGCACACCATAATGGCTGTGTGGCAGCAACCTTTTTTGTTCATTTCTTCTACCTTTCTGTGTTCTTCTGGATGTTGGCCAAGGCACTGCTTATCCTCTATGGAATCCTAATTGTTTTCCATACATTGCCCAAGTCAGTCCTGGTGGCATCTCTCTTTTTAGTGGGCTATGGGGGCCCTTTGGTCATCGCTGTCATCACAGTTGCTGTAACTGAGCCTGGTCAAGGCTACTTGCGTCCAGAGGTGTGCTGGCTCAACTGGGACAAGACCAAGGCCCTCCTGGCATTCGTGGTTCCAGCCCTGATCATCGTGGTGGTAAATTTGACCACGGTCGCTCTGGTGATTGTTAAGACCCAACAAGTGACCAGTGGTAGTTCCATGTTCCAAGAAGTGAGAGCCATTGTGCGGATCTGTAAGAATATCGCCATTCTCACACCACTGCTGGGACTGACTTGGGGATTTGGAATCGCCATAGTCATCAATGATAGCTCTGTGGTCTTCCACATTATCTTCTCCTTGCTCAATGCTTTCCAGGTAAGTCTGGGTGCTCCTGAACAAGTTCAAAGTAAGGATTCCTAAAGAGGTTTTATGATAGGAAACTTGGGCATCTTATTTCAATACAACAATGTATTTGAAATAACATATTGAATAAGAAAATCAGCATAGATCCAGAAAAGCCTCAATTCAAATTCCAACTCTCTCATTTGACTAATGTGTAATGTTCTCTTTAGGGAGCTCTGGTGGCCTAGTAGCAAGGAATTTCACTGCCAACCCAAAGGTGGGTGGTTTAAGTCCACCAGATGCTCCAAGGGAGAAAGATGAGCAATCTCCTCCCATGAGTTTTACTGCCCCTGAAAAACCTGGCAAAGGGTCAGCTATAAGCTGGTTCTACTCAGTGGCCAAGAGTAGTAATAGTAGAGCAATCTTTGTGGAGACCGTAGGTGGTGCAATCAAAGACTTACTTATTAACAGAGAAGATTACAGTGTGAATCCTCTCAGAAGAAAGGCTTGCTGATCTCTTTCCTGAACCTTGAAAAGTCTACAGACACTGCTGGACTTTGCACACATGGTGTAGTCATGGGTTGACATTAATTGACAGCAGCGGTGTGTTATTGTTATGATCTTGAGATATTTGTTTAACTTTTCTGAGCCACACTTTTTTCTCTTATGAGTGTAAATACTGTTCACTTTATAGGGGTATTGGGGAAATGAAATAAAATGACAAGTAGGAAAGTATCAATTAATCAAGTGATTTTCAGACCAGAACATATTCAGCAGTAGTTAGCTAGGGAAATCAAACAGCGTCATCCCAACAAAAACAATCTGCAGGTGTTAAACTTTGCAAATTTATTATGTTTCCTTATACTTAAATGTTTACATTATGATTTGAAAGCATTTTCTTTTAATAAGGCAAATGATAGAGTCTTCTTATTGTTGAACTTATGTACCACTCATTTCTTCCCCCCCCCCCCAAGATTCAAAGCACAAACTTTATTTTCTCACACCTCAATTTAAAAATCACCTCACCTGAAGAGTAGATTTGATACACTGAAAACTAGTGACCAAAGATCAGGTGAATTTTGAGACATCATCAAGGATTTCATCCATGAAGAAAGCAAAAGATCATAAAAAGACAGGGAAAAGTAAACACGAAAATGAATGTCAGAAGAAATTTCTCTCTCTTTTTTTTTAATAACTTGGCTACTGACCGAAAGGTCAACGGTTCAAACCCATCTAATGGCTCTGTAGGTGAAAAGATCTGGTGTAACAATTAAAGCCTAAAAAATTCTATGGGCCAGTTCTACCTTGTATAGGGCCACTCTGAGTTTCTACGAGATCCATAGTCTTATGCAAATTAATGTTGTTGTTATGTGCTGTTGAGTCGCTTGCGACTCACAGTGACCCTATGTACAACAGCCCTACATTCTGCTCTGTCCTGTGCCAATCGCACTGTCTCCGGAACACCCATCCCGATTATCCCAGTCATTGAATCAGTCCACCTCATAGAGGGCCTTCCCCTCCTGCACTGTCCCTCCATCCTACCAAGCTTGATGTCCCAAGGAACGGTCCCTCCTTACAACATGTCCAAAGTATGTTAGATGGAGCCTCAGAATCCTTGTCTCCAAGGAGCCACCCGGTTTAACCCTTTCCAGGATG